ATTGTTTGTATGGAAAGTAAAGATCTACATACATCAAATTCTCTTATTTTTAATTATTAAGTGAAAAATTAATTTTAATTATTAAGTTAAAAATTAAGTGATGGCAGAAGAATTATCGTTGAACTTAAAAAGTAAGCTTAAATATTAATGTAATACTTAAATGCAGTGATCAATTTGAAGTTCTTCTGTAGTTTATTGCATCTGTAGCCTATCGCATCTACTAATCCCTTACCTATTGTGATGGAGGCTCAATTGAGAGCCCTCTGCAGGAGCTAGCTTAAATGCTGCCTGATTAAGCTATTTTAAAATATATTTCCAAGAATAATTTTCTTACATTTTACAGATTTAAATGGTTTTAATATTTTGGGGCTTACACTAAAATAGAGAAAAAAATTTTGTCCTGAGCATTTTTTGTTAGAATCATTCAAAAATAAGAAAGGAGGTGTCATAGACAAAAAAGCAAGTAAAATATAGCAAAACCTTGTTAATTTAACTAAATTTAGTGTTGTAGGATCTCAAAAACCACTTCACATATGTTATTTTGGAAAAAGGGTGTCAATATTTGTTTTTAATCAAATCAAGCAAGGTGATAAAAAACATTAAGGCACAAGGGGTTGCTTGAAGTGAAAGAAACACAGAGGACAATAAAAGAACAGGATTTAAGGAGACAAAAAAAATGATGACTGACATTATATTTAAATTTATGAAGAACATAGATAAGAAATCAGAAGAATTTTCTACAAGTGATAAGAAATTATTAGCATAGAAATTATGGTTACATCTAGTAATTTCAACAGTGAAGTTATGAGACCTAGCTGCCAATCTAGTACTTTGCTTAAATTCATGTATTCGAGAACAATGAAGTTTAAAAAAAAAAAAAAGAAAAAAGTTAAACCTGCCTCTCACTTACAACATTCATTTCAACAAAATTCCAATGACTTACAAAAATAACAACAAAAGCAACTGTCCAGAACTGATCATCTCAAAAACAAATAAATATGTGCAAGTTTTGATTAACTTCAAATGATTATAACTTGACAAATATTTAAGTTAGACCAGTTCTGAAATCCTGAGACCGTCTACTTTCAAACTAGACATAGCAACTATCATTTGGGAAATGTTCTAAAAATGTCAAATGTCCACTTTGCTCTTATCCTTATTTAATGCAAGAATAAATTTTATGCTAAATTGATCATCAAGTTTACAGTTTATTACATTAAAATAATAGTAGCTAGTATAATTCTGCACTTGGGTGATGGATTATGACTAGAAGTCATCAGATTTTATATATAGTCATTTATTTTTGTTTTTTTTTAATCCACTTGTATGATGATTATCAAGTGATGCGATTCAATTGATTACAACCAAACACATCACCTTGGGATATAGTTTTAAATACTTGCAATAAACTCTAAAAGGCATATTAGCAAAAACAATGAAAGATGAGGATAAAAGTTTAACTTCCAGTCATAAGCAGAGATAAAATTCATACCTGAAGACTAAATGCTTGGCTTTTGTGTTAATACAAAGGGAGGTAATTTAAATATAATTTGTCAAGCCTGGTGATTGTCATTAACACTTTGAAACAAAGTTTGTTATAGTCACGGTTTAAAAAATGCTGAAACCCCAGTTGTCAATAATTAATAGAGTAAGAATTATAAATTTCCAACATTCCTAAATTCTTCAAAATAAGCAAATGATATATTCTTTATATAATGATTTATACTTAAACAAAAATATCTGAAAATAACATAATACTCTGCATCATTTATAAATATTACTTCCCCTTTTACTGTATATGGAATCTCCTCAAAATATAGTGTTTTATATATTAGTTCAATATAACTGAAATTGCAGTAGCCTGGCTCTCAATTTCAGTCAAGATTGTTTTATGTGTTGCCATAGAAGGATAATATACACAACCAAGAAATTCAAATTCAAAATTGGCAGGACTAACATTTTGCTTCATGAAAATAGTCACTTATAGAGTGCTGAAGGTTAATATTTAAAAGTTGCTGAATCTTTTCAACAGAAATAATAATAATAAAAAAAACTTCTTGATGTCTTAGGTACAAAAAAAAATAAATGTGAACACTAATGAGAAATTAAAATGTATTATAAATCATTATAACAAAAATGAATTAACCAAAGACTTGACTACTTCTAAACTTCAGCCTAAACCAATCATATTTCTACTAAGAAGGGTCATTTCGATGTGGTGTGATGGCTAGCAAGCTTATCTCACTAAATCATTTATGACTGATAGTGAGGTTGATCCTCACTGGATGTCCCCATACTTTCGACCTTGTGCCAAATCTAAGCTACACTTGAAAATCACCAAAAAAAAAAAAAAGAAAAAAAGAGCATCATTAAATAACAACATTGTCACTAAACAAGCTACAACAATCACTCAAATTCCTCTTCATTTTTAAATCCTTCATTCTTAAGTAATGTTTAATTTTATTTGTGGGAATACCTTAGTAATTTGACAAATAACTGATAGCCAAAATGTTCAAGGTTCTTTTTAAATGCTGGATATTAATATGGAAATTCATTATCACATTCTAAGAAAAAACAAAAGCAATAGATCTAAGTCATCTATGATATAAGGTTATATGGAAATTAGCATATAAATACTTTAAGGTGAATAGCTTATTGGTTTAACAGAGGACTAAAACATAAATTTCAATGGTAAGTCCCAGAAGATGAACTTGGTTCCTACAATATGAAGAAAAACTGATTTGAAATCTGAGAAAGAAGGAGCCTTTTTTCTTTTAAATAATCAAGCAAATAGTTAAAAAAAAAAAAAAAAAAAAAAAAAGCCTCCATTTCTATCATTCACTTAGAGGTTTTCTACTTTTTTGTAATGAGATTTGATATTTCTATGATAAAAGACAATCCAGCTTTAAAATTTGTAGCAGACTGTGATTTTGATATTAAAATAGTTAACAATAATTCTCAGAAGTCATGTGAAAGTAGGAACAATAAACATGCCCTCTCCCAGTTCCCCTTGCCCAACTGTCAAAAGGGAAACTTTATTTCAATAAAATACAAAATAAATTGAAAAGCATAAAACATTTGAAATTGGATTCAAATCTGCTCTACACAATACTGGTACAGATGAAACAATATTTATAATTGCCAATCCTGTAAGTATTTATTGAATCTTAAAATGTAAAAATATACAATTTAACTTTAGTTATCAGATGCTGTTGAAATTACTTGAGACAGATTTTGCAAGTAAAAATAATGTAAGAATAGGGATTTATATTGCAAAATATAATAACTGACAGTGAACCGAGATAAAGTGAATCATTGAGACACTTTTGAGGCAGAAACAGTCAATTAATTACAAATATAAACAATTTTTTGATTGTTAGCAGAACAATCAAAATCTCCAAAATTATTTACTGCATAAATTTTTCAAGATATCAATGAAGATCACAGGACAATTGATAAAGAATCAATTGTGCTGTGATTACAACATCACGAAAAGACAGTATATTTAACATTTTTATAATGTTTTAGCATAATTTTATAATTATCTAATACTTGCTATTCAATTTAAACCTTATTAATTTAGTCCTATAACTCACAGTTAATTTATGCTTAGAAGTTTAATAAGTATAAAGTGAGCATGTCTTACTCTATGTAGTGAGTCAGTCTGATTGGTAAACCCGCCACTGTACAAGTTATGTAACAAAATGCAAGGAAAGATTTATTTAAATACGGTATATAATACTAATAGCATTATTAAGAAAGCAAAACAGAAATTTTAAGAATGCTATTGATATATATTTTTTTTTTTTTTACTTTCAAATGTAAGATCAAAATTCTGTATCAAATGTTTTTGGCTCCAATATATATGTAGTCAGACCTGACCAAAATTTTGTAACAAATTTATCTGAGCTAAACATATATTTACACAATTCTTGTAAAAAGTCAAAAGTATAAAGGAATATAATTACCATAAAAAAGAGGATATATATTTTAAATCTCAAATGCTACTACTGAAATGAGTGAGGAACTTAAATATTATATATACATATTTAAGGTTCTGTAGGAATATATGAGAAGTTTAATGTTTTAGTTCATATTTAGTTTTTTTATAGTCATCAAAATCTCCAGGAATTGTGTGTATGTATGTGAGCATATTTTACACTTGTATTTTTCTGAGTGCAAGCAAATGTTTTTAAACTTATTTTCCTCCTGCTCTTATTTTTTTTTTTCTTTCTTTTTACATGGCCAAACATTCTAATTAAGCCTTAACAAAGAACCCAAAGGAAATCAATTAACATTACAAAAATGTTTGAGAAAGAGTCAAATAAAACAATTATCTTTCATTTTTTAGCTCCCTTAAGTATTTCTCCATCAACACTTTATTTTTATTTTTTATTTTATTTTTTAAAAATCTTAACAGAATTTTCCCAGGGCCATTAATCACAACACAGAAAGAATATTAATTTAATTAATGCCATATGTATGCATAAATCAGTTATATTGGTAATCTTAAAAAGCTTAACTAATTTTAGAAAGATTTAGAAAAGAGGCAGATTTTGGGAAATATAACTGAAAATTTTCAAAATTTCTTAGCCAGAACATTTTTAAATTGGTTTAGATCAAAATAACCTAGCATTAGATATAAAAGACAGATTTGGTTGTGTGTATATATTTTTGCCATGAAATAAATATTACTCTTAAGTTACAGATAAGAAATAAAAAGGACCTGGAAAGATTGATTCATTCATTGACGGATTCATTTTTTATGGCTTATCAATCCTTTGCAGGCTATTCAACAAAATTTTTTAGATTGTATTGGAGATAAAAATGGTTGAGTGGTACAAGTCTTACTAATTAATCCATAACTAGGGGAAGTAGAGGTGGATTCAAACATTTCCCAAGTGTATTTTTGTGTAAGTGAATATAACGACCCCAACAGGAACTGGAACTCTGCTTAACAATTCCAAACCATTATGCATTACATCACCCACACCTTCAAGCTTACAGCACCTGGTATTTCCAAGAAGTCACCCATCTAGGTACCAACCAGGCTCAATGTTGCTTGACTTTGGTGATAGTGTGGGAACTTGTGTTTCAACGCAATGTGACCATAAACTGGACCGGAAAAGAGGGTTAACTGATAAAATTTTAACACCAAATGTGAGTGTGAGAAAACTAAGGAAAAATTCAGTAAAAAAAAAAAAAATATATATATATATATATATATATATATATATATATATATATATATATATATATATATATATATATTAAAATTTGATAAATGTATTTTTTATTGGTATCAATAAATTTCAAGTCATGTAATCAGTCATCCAATAAAGATCCATGTACACATATACAAATATTAAAATGGGTCAGTAGAAAGGGAGTGGAGTCAGTATTACCTGATTTTAAGATAAATTGGCTTGTGGTTACAAGCTGTAGCTATTAATTTCCAAATATTTTTGCCACTACACATAAACCTGTAAAGAATAAGCATGTGCAAATATAAACAGAATTCAGAGAAAATTCATCTTAATGAATATGATTAAAGAAGATTTAAAGAACATCTCAAAAATGAATTTATCTTCAAAACACTAGTACATATCAATTAAATTTTGTCGGTTTTATATATTACATGGTGCAAGGATGATCTAATGTAATGTTATGTGGCAAGCACTAAATTTTAACATTCTCTTTTCACTTTCAGATGTATCCAGAGCATTAACATGGTATTTTTCAGTCTAACATAGGAAATAAAAAGGCACACCATACTATGGCACTAGCCAACTTCTTGAAGTGTTCAGGTGAACACTAAGATATCCAGTGTCTGTAATGGTCGTGTGGTCTGGTGCAAAAAAACTGATATCATGCTGCCTTCAGGGTTAATGTCATTGCCTATGTTGAGGTGCTAGATGCAATGGTCAAGCTCAATACAATGGAGGTGGCAGACATGTTTCAGCAGGTCTGCTCCTTCTTACATGGTTCACACAGCCCAAGAGTGATTGGAGTAGAATCTTCATGATCATTGCACCAAACATGTGGCCTCCTAACTCTCCTGGTTCAGCAGCCACACGATAACAAAAATTCTTTGAAAAGCTGCCTTGAATGCGAATCACCTAGGCATGCAATAACTTCTGGAGCCATCCCAGAGGTTGAAAGCAGTTTATTGAATAATGTTCTTTTTGTTTGAACATGTGCAGAAATATTTTTGAAAATATACCTTTTATGCTGAATGTCTTTTTTCTTTATATTTTCTTTATATTATACTTTGTTCTTAATTACTTGGTGTACCTTGTATTGAGTGTTAAATTGTACCGGTAAAAGTTTTGTTTTGGAAATTGCTAAAACTATTTCTTCACTCAAAAAATGCAACTAACGTTTTTAAACCAAAGGTTGAAGCTAAGTGCCAAACATAACTTAATAATTACATTAACTAAGTTCTGTGATGAAATAATAAGTCGATTGTATTGTACATTAAAATTTTAGAGAGAAAACGCCCACAATTCGTCAATTGAATACCGATTATTACCAACAGGCATAATTTCAGTTACTTTCTTCCTAGGTCCGTATATAAAATAAATAATGTACTTTCTTCCTTCATGGTAACTTGACTTTTCTAGAGGAAACATTTTAAATAAGAAAAAAGAAACCACATAGCGAGCGGAGAAACAAAATAACTTTTTTCTTCTTTTTTCAGAAAAGAGTTAAAAAAAATAATAAAAAAAAATATTAATGCATTATTTTATGAAATGAAAAGGAACCACAAGGCATTTTTCTTAGTAACATTTGAATTGTACACGATCAGATTTGTTGATTTTTTGTTTTTTTATTTAATGGATCTTCTTGTATTCAATCATACAACTGAAAAACCATTACAACTTAATTTTCAAAGGCCTGAAATTCGAAACTAGTCAGATTTGGGTGGGTGCCGAGGACAGTATATATGAAAAATTTTATTTATAATTTTCAATTTGTTTGACAATTTGTAAAAGTAAAAAAGAAGCAGAGAAAATTACTAATGAATGAAATTTCCACAAGAGCAATATATATGAAAAATCAATTAACAACAATAAAGCATTACCATGAACTCTGAGTAAGAGAGAATTTTTATTTGCCACCCCATGAAAGCAAAGAGTGGCACAAGGGCTTTAATATGGAGTAATCCGTTACCAACACCAAATTACATATTGCTGAACATTGCAGTTTATGGATGATTATAAAACTGTTACCTTACCAGTTACCTCGACTATTACATTGCTGCAGACGTCAGGATCTGATTCTTAGTGCAATAAGGAAGAGTTGACCGGAGAAGCATTTTCAAATCAGTTTCAGACACAATTACGAATGGTCAGAGTCCTTTTTTTCTTTTCTTTTTAACAGGATAATTTTTTTAAAATCTTTCATTGCAGGGTGATGTAAACGAATTTAATGAGTGAAAATAGCTCATGAAAACTTCCAGGGGTGCAGTTTACGACAAATCAGTCACATTCATTTTTACACCTCCCACACTAATTTAAAAAAAAAAAAAAAAGCAAGTAATTTACAAGCCCGAACTTTTGGTCATGAATAGATAAATAAAAAATTGCTCTTTGTACTCATGATAAATTTGTTCTAAAAACTGTTTCACCGACTGATGATGGAAATTGTACAAAATGTAAATAAAAAGGCCAATATCCGCAACTAAAAGTTAATTTATTCTAAATTTGTTTTTAAAACTCGAGTCACTTGGAAAGTAAACACTTAGAAGTTTCTCATTAGGAACTGGTGATTTTTGTTATTTAGTGTTTGCCTGTTAAAATTGAAATGTATTCAGAACGTTTTACACCTCAAAATTATTAAATAAATAAAATTTAAAAATATATAATTTGTTTGTATGACAAAAATTTAAAAACCCAACAACAACCATTGAGGAAAAAAAAATAATCAATCACTGAAGCAATGAACATTCAATGACGTTAAGAATTTCAAAACAGCTTTTAAAAGTAAAAAGGTAATCTAATAAACATCTTTTTTTGTCTGTTTCATATTGTGAAAACTAAAACAGACATGACTTAGTGTTCAAACAAAATAAAAACTATTATTAAGAAACATCGACAATCTGGATTTCGAAATGATTTCGAAACAGAGTAATGACAATTATTAATGATTAACTTTAGCATCATTTAGACAAAATAAAAAGTTAACTTCAAACAATTCGAAAGGTGTTTACTTGCTTGTCTGCGGAACGAATTACGTAAAAATAAAATTAACCTTGTAATCAAAATATAGGTGATTTTTTTTTATAACTGCATTGCGACTGTTGTAAATGGATTTTTTAATTTTTGTAATTTTTTATCAGGTTAAAATTAAAATTATTACAAAGCGATCTTGGTTTCTCGATAATGACAACAAATGTAATCACGTTGGTTGGTGGGTTGGGGACTCATCCTTCTTAATTATTATAACTTATAAACTAAGAATTAGAAATTACCTAAACTACGACTGTAGTTAGTCGTTTATATACACGCACCCTTATAACAATAAATTATTTTTTAAAACAGGCTAAATAAAGTTTATTTAATAAACAGTCTAAAAGAATTACCGATTTAGTTGGAAAACTTCAAAGATGTACTCACGATATGAGGCACAGTAAAAAAATATCAATTTGCAGCGACAAATATCGTAAGCAATATTGCAGATGGTGAAAACTTAAAAGCAAATAAATCGAGATCTTTTAAATTTAGGATTATAGCAAATGATGAAACTAGAGGTGAATCACAGTGATGATGTTTTATTTATATTCCAAATAAAATGAGTTTTTTTTTTAAGAAAGTGAAAACTAAAAAGAGAATGAAAGTAGATGAGAGGGAGTCTCCTAGCTCGAGCAAAACAAGAAAATAGATAATAATTTCTAACATGGCATTGAGTATACTAGCAAGCATCGACAAAGATAGAGAAAAATACAGATTAGCGCTACTTACGAGACTGAATGAGACATGAAAAACTGTGTGTTTGTCTCTTGTTTCGACATCGTAGACGGGCCCAAATTTCGCCTCGCCACCCCACGCCGCTGCCAGACGCCATCACTGTCTGGTTTTATTATCATGTGGTTAGCTCTGCATGATGAGCAGTATTCGTCCCAGAATTAATATCCAAGTTTTATTGTATTTGAATATTGACAATAGGACACAAGTTTTGGGACAAGTCTCCCACACTTTCTAGATAGCTTTGTTAGTTTCTAACGCCGCTATGGGCAGTCGTACCACAAATAAATAAATAAATAAATGAATAAATAAATGAATAAAAGCAAATTAATGTTCCGATTAAATTAGAAAATTTAAAATGAAATTTAAAAAAATAATAAATTTAATTTGATATAATTTCTTTTTTACTAAAAAGAATAAAAATTGCATTTCTACCTTAAATTTAAACGATCTCAATATAAAAAAAAAATGAAGAAATCTTTTTTTTCTGGGTTCGAATCCGGCTTACAGCATCGATGTATCAAATGAATATATTGGAATTTTAGTAGTAGGGCATGTAGATGTTCTGATAATCATTTTTTTTTTAAGTTAATTTATTTCGATTTGTCTACTATTTTTCCAAGACTTATCGAAAGCTCTTCTTATATATCTTTTTCTTTTTCATTTCAGGTACGCCATCAACTATTCTCTGTCAATATATATATATATATATATATATATATATATATATATATATATATATATATATATATATATATATATATATATATATATATATATATATATATATATATATAAAGCAAGTGTTTATAGTTAGTTAACTATATTTGAAATGTTACACTTGTAACAAATTTAAAATTCAGTTTTCGTGTTTTAAGTTTTTTACTAAAAAAAAACAAACTTTAAGTGATAATTTTTCTCCCCCTCAGTCTATTTCTTTGTCTCTCTTTCTCTCTGGGTCTTAGCTCATAAAAGTAAACGTTTACAACGTAGTTTTCAAAAGAAAATTTATTGTGTTCATTTTCCTAGGTTTGTAATTTATTTATTTGTAACTAAAATCACTTTCATTATTATTTGTATTCGATATACTGACTTTGCCCATTTTCTTCTTTTTTTAACTCTCCTCCCCATCCCTAGTGCTCGA